TAACAGTGCGATCTATTATAGCCTAACCTTCCTCGGTTAATGTTCTAACCAGCACAAATACCACACAACCAAGAATTTTTAAATTCAAACAGTAGTTCCTGAGACTGGCGTGTTCCAAAAAACGCTGGCGCTTTATATATTGGTATAGATATGTACTTCAATTTAAGGAGATAAAGAAGAGATATCTAGTGTTGACAATTGACATTTGATTTGAAGACAATTTGTGTTAGTATGTCTAATATAAGCTAGACATTTTTTTTTATCGGAATACACGAAGTTTATATAGGCATAGTAATATATACTGAAGGTTACATATAGGACGTATTTGCTATTTCTACATTACGTGACGTTCCAAGCAATTTTGTGCCTTGTAATCCCGTGGGAAAAAGTGGGATTATGTCAAAATGGCGTGACGTATGGCTGTGAATTGAATGCGTAATCAGTGTCGTGTCAGTGTGTCGACGTTACGAGTTTGTTTACAACGAGTTAACGCGACCTTTCACAATTTGACGGCTCGTAAAGTAATTTCCTTAATCTTAGCCTAGATTTTAATTGTAGCTTCTGGAAATTTACCAGACTTTTAACGGTTAAAAAACGCGAAATATTGTATATTATTATTTAGTTCAATTATTTTTATTTCATTTTAACTTCAGCCATACTTTCAAGGTAAAAGTAACTTTTACATTTCGCGTTTAAAGCCATTAAGTGTTTTATAATGTGTGCACTACTCGCGGCAACTATACAGAAAATTGTTGTTGATTTAAAGAAACATCTTATTACACGTAAAAAGCCATATAATCTACCCGCAACGCATTTTTTAAAAGCGATTGATAGTTACGACGTTTAACTGTGACCGAATCTCTGACGTCATTATAATATTAAATAACACTCTGGAGATTTAAAACAAACCATAGATATATATAGAATATAGAAAGATTTTCCATTTAAGAAAATATCGTTCAGAAGGTCTGAATGTTATTTTCAAAATTACTAACAGATGTGAACCACGTTCAGATACGTATAAAACATCGAAAACAGGATTAATTTTTAAAATGAGTTATGTAAAGAACGCAACATGTAATTTTTCCATTATTATAAAAAAATATATGTATCCTAAATATAACTTATATTTGCATCGTATAATCAAAACAAAGTAATTTAAATTTGATCAATGTTGCCATATTAAATTAGCTGATTGCCCCATTTTGGTCCATGGAGCATTAATGAGAGGTTCTAATTTTGAAAGCCCTCGGGGATATATGTTACGTCTCATTTACGTTAAACATTTACGTACGATTACAGTATTACAAATATACGTAATATTAATTGCTTATTAACTTTCGCTTGAAACGTGATTTTTATTTAGTTCTTGCTGTCGCTTTGCACACTTAACAGATCAACAAACGTTTGAATCATTAGAATGAAAACACTTTAGCGCAACTATATAAATTTATTAAACAACGTAATAACTGTTGCAACGGCACGATACGCTGTTCGTCGTAGGTTCATGTCCTACCCTTGCAAAACATTTATCAATTACTTTTAAAACCACAATTAAAAACATATCACAAAAGTTTTTTTTTGATGCGATGCATTGTCGACTTATTTTGGCTTTCGTTAATTCGAAACTCCACATACTGAAACCGACACTTTAGAAAACTGTATTAAGGTAATGGCATGACAAAATGTTATCCATATTTTTAAGTTTATTTTTTATTATTTAAATACTTAGCATATAATAACTTTATAAGTATACAGTAGATACTAAGTTTTTCATTGTTTTTCTCGAAATGCACCGGAAGAGTCTAGCCGCCCACGACACAGGGAATCCTAGTGTGGGGGCTAGGACACCCTGTAATGATATGTACACAGTTTTGGTGAATAAAGAATTTGTATTTGTTTGTATTTGTTTGTTTGACACGCGATTCAACTTCACAGCTTTTTCATCCGTGGTGGTTTGTGAATCAGACGGAATTTTCGATATCCACCACCTATTTAATATTTAAATTTCCAGATGAAGTCCAACATGGTTCAGAAAAATTATAAATTAAAAAAACATATGTAGCATGTAGACTTATGCTAATCGCCATTTCTTTGCCATCTGCTGAGATAAGAACTTCAAGTGACTCTGAATCTGTAATATTCAGGAGGATCTCAATTAGTTGGACTTCTAGGAGTGAAAGGATCAAACTTTTCCACCTATGTGCCAGGTTATTGTAACATTTTGTTTGTTATTTCTGTATAATGAATTTATTTTACGTAAATCTCAACCCCTCGGTAAATCTACGGATATGAATATTGAACTGAAGTTAACAATAATGTTTGCAGAGCTGGTTACGTTCCAACCGACGATCAAAGTCAACAGATCCAGATAATTATTTCGTTAAACCTGTAAATATCCATACTTTAAAATTTCGGAACAAGTATTTTTTTCTTTTTCCCGTATACATAGGTTATTTTATACTATGCGCATGCGCATCAAATATTGCAGATCTATTTAGATTGTTAATTAAAATACGACTATACATTGAAAAAAAAAATTCGACAAGCACAGGACTTGATTCGGCATCTACAGCGTTCCGTGCTAACCAATCTAACCAATTAAGCTACCGTGTCCTACGCGTCATTATCGATTTTTTTCAATCCACACTTACGTATTAAGGTTCAATGTCTTATGCGTCGAAGCTTAAAAAAAATCATTGAACATGAAATTACAAAGTTTAACGTTTAAAAACTTTACTTTTTTTGTAGAAGTCTACTTTATTGTTAAAATTGTATACACATTTTATTAATCTTATTATATGCGCATGCGCAACCAATATTGCAGATCTATTTAGGTTGTTTGTAATCTGAAAGATGCCGTTAAATAAAGACATTACGAATTATAGTTACCTTTTGAATAAGCACTCGACCTTTACAAAGATGAAGAAACGTATCTTGATTGAACTGATGCAGTTTGCTTAATCGATATTATGCAAGGTGTTCTCGCAAGCCGTAATCCTCATTACAGCTCATAGAATTTGTAGTGGGATAAAAGAAGATTAATCACTGAACGTTGAAGACAATAGGTGTATAGAAATCAAAATGTTCGACAAACATTACTTTTATTAAGTAACAACAAAACGTTTTATAAGTAACAAATAAGTGTAAACGAAAATCTATTTAAACACGAAATACTAAAAATAACAAGTGATGTAAGTAGTACTAACGATACTAAACAATGGCTGATAAAATAATAAATATACTACTATACTACGATACTAAGGTCTAAATGTCAAAACTGTTTCGGTGTTTCCTAAATAGAAATTTATTTATTTTTATACAAAATTGTTGCACTGGGTTCATTATCATAAATTAGAAAATAATCAAAAAAATAATAGTAAATAATTAAGTTTCTATTTTTGTAGAAATTAAAACACAAATGATAATTCCGTCACTTAAATAATAATAATGAATAATAAAAAAAAAACATAAATGGACTCATTATACATCGCGAATGTTGCCATTTTTCTGTTTGATATTGTTCGTTATTTACTCTGTGGTTTTTACTCTGTGCTGAGCCAAAAATGCTCATTAAAAATTATTATCCTGTAATTGCATGTTTGTAGTGTAGTCAAAAGAATCGTAATGTTGTCTTGAGTTATAATGCCATAAATTACAGTAAAGGTTATTTTTGTAAAACAATAAATAATTTTCCTCTGTGCCCTAAATAGGGCAGACTAGTTTTTAAGCCTTCTGTCGCACCTAAATTATTTTCCCGGGATTCTAACCCGAACCCAGTTCAATCAATCTATGAGCACGAATTTCTCTAAGATCTAACAAAGTTTAATTATCAGCAAAAACATATCTGTTTGCCTATCATTGTTTTTCGGGGTGTTCGGCCGTAAGCGAGAAGAGGTTCTCGACGTTGAAGGATAACCTGAACGATGTCTGTGAATTTCTTACGGAATTTATTAAACATATCTTTATTTAAATACTGTCTGTACTTTACGCGAGTAGTACACATTTAAACGAAACACTTTAACGGTTTAAAACGCGGTATACGGGGTCGGGCCCTAGTTAAAAATAATATTCTAACAAGTTCAAATATATCGCGTTTTAAACCGTTAAAGTGTTTTAGTTAAATATCTTTATTTTTATTTTTTTATAATTCACTTTTATACAATTAATTCGCATGTGTACAGGTTTTTTTTAAGTCAATATAGAAAGTTTTATAAGAAATTAAAATGCATATACATTTAAAATAAAATGTATAAGTATTGCTAAATTCTATAATTTTGCCTAGCATTGTTTTGTTAATAGTTATTACTTATTATACAGCTTTACGTTGTAATTGATTGCGTAAGTAGCTCAGGGCTACAATATAAGGGACATAGAGAGGTATTTTAGAAGTGATTCCATACAAACAAACAAACCTTTATTTTTGATATGTATAACCGTATAATGAATGCCTACAATCTATTGGACTCGATGGGGATCGAATCCACGACCCGTTGGTTATTAGCCATACATTACGACGAGCCCGTCAATCAGTACGTAACACATCACATATTATACTTCTGCGGCTCAAGATGGGCTAGCGCGAAGTTGAGTTGGGGCCGTAATGCGTTACGTAACGAAGAGAACAACGTCGTTCCGTACCGTATGAATTTATTGCTATAAGTTTTCTTACCAATACTCACATTCCATCTTGCCAAGAGAATTGTTTTTACTGGTATTCAATTTAATTGTGAAGTGTGAAAGCAACAATAAAATAATCACTTAACTAAAGCGACTTAGAAAGCGTACATTGTATAATCTGTGAAATAATTCATTATTCGCGTTGGCGCCAAAACGCTTCGAAATTTAATGCAAAAACGTTAATAGCGACTGTCACTTTCACTATTTTGTTTTTATTTTGCAGACGTCAGCCAAGGCAAGGAAGTGCACCGATTCTATGTCATCTCAGTGTTGTGTAATTCTGTGGTTTAAGTGATATAGTGTTCGGATTGTATCTTAAAATGGTAAGTTTATTTCTCATAGAATTTATTTCAAAGAGACTAATTAAATACATAATAAAAGCTTAAACTAATAACCAACTTTATATAATTTATATGACGATTATGTATTTAGATTAGAGGTATACACAATGCACAAAAATTATTTACGATACTTTTATGAATAGAAAACCATTGTTCATGAGACAGGCATAAATTAATACAGTTATTGAACAATATATCGCAGTATTAGTACATCAAGAAGGATTTTTGCAATCCATGCTAGAGCCATTATTGTACGTTGCTTAGTACTTTTATTTTTATAAAAGTTATATTTTAGTCTCTAGTTGTTAAACTATTTCGTGAAAAGATGTATGTTCTGCATATAGAAGCAGGGAATAATTTTAGTGTATATCTATACTAATAAATAAAGCTGAAGAGTTTGCTTGTTTGTTTGAACGCGCTAATCTCAGGAAATACTGGTTCAAATTCAAAAATTATTTTTGTGTTTGAACTAGCATTTCCTTCCATAGGGGGTTTGCAATAAGAAAAATTGATATCTAAAATAATTAATCTACGCGTACGCAGTCAGATTCAGCTAGTATTACATACAATTATAACACAGGCGTCTATTCTTATATTTCTATAATTCCAAGTAAATAATTGAGTTTATCAACATTATTTTCAAAGGAAAGCGTCGATCGGGAATGTAAGTAATGTTTTTCCTGTGTAAGATAAATCATGTGACACTTGTTTATCTTGGACTTACTTGGTCCGGCAAACGTTGTTTGGATGTTTCCAAAATAATATTATTATTTTGATAAACCTATTGAAAAAGCATTTATTTCGACAAAATTTATTATTTATAATCATAAAAATGGTTTTTGCGAGTTAATCTCAAAAGATATATACTATTGCGGACATTTTTTTTGACCATTAAAGGAGGAATCATTCTTACATAACTTTTTTTCGGTTTCTTAAACCGTTTTCGCTCACGAAACGAAACCCTCGAAGATGAATAATTTTCCCCATTTATTTCACATTTTCCACTATTTCTTCGCTCCTATTGGTCGCAGCGTGATGTCATAAAGCCTAAAGCCATCCTCGAAATCTGGTCTAACCAACTCAAAGAATTTTAATTAGATCCAGTAGTACCAGAATTTATACAAACATCGAAGCAAACTCAGCGTTATTATATTAGTATAGAAAACGTCACAGTTTTAATTATATGATTAATATTGTTTGCAATCCATTGCATTTATTACAAGTACCTAATATTATCCTGGTTTAAAAATTTCCTCTACAAATCGAAAATTAATGCCGCCCTAATATTGATTGTGAAGCACCTATTGTATTATCAGATTGGATGTTATGCGCAATTAAATATTTAATGTTGAGGAAATGGATTAATTTCGTATTGTTTACTATCAAGGGTGGACGAACGCACAAATGGGGAATAAGTCACGTGTTGGTCTTGGTGATAAATAAGGTTGTACTTCGCTTAAAAAAGTAATTGTGTTTTATTTTAAAAAAGTAGTAGTAGTTAGTGGGTTCTATTTCGGGGAAACATGATGGATTATTTCGGTTGGACAGGCTGGTTGCCTGTTAAAGTACGACAGGGAAACAGATAGAGATATAATTGCCTCATGTTCTATTAAAGCTTTTAATCTGGTATTTATTTATTACGCTAATACGACTGAACTGATTTTCATTGAAGTTTATTGTAAAAATAAAATAATGATATTTTGTGCCAATACCCATATTGACTACGACACTACATCTTAATTAAATGTAATAGCGACGTCTCACCTTCTATCTTCTTAAATTATCGAATTTTTAATAACTGCATTGCTTTTAGTATAGATTTTTTAAAACAAAACATCAACTTACTTTTTACGATAATTGTATTATGTGTATCATGAACAAAACAACGATTAAAATATTATAATAATTATCCTTGTTACAATATTTTGGTGAAAAAAATTACATTAATTACTTTTGTTTTGTTTTCCTGTTTTTGTTTTGTATCGGGAAAATTAGAAAACACTGTATTTCCGAGTTTCGATTTTATGTTTATAGAAAATATTATTTTACAATCATGCATTCAGCTTAAAAGTTTGCTCATAAAACATATTTGATTATCAGTAATAATGAAGATGGGTGGATGTTTCCTTTTCGTAGGAAACAGCAGAACACACTTTGATAAAATTAAGCACAGTGTAGATTTTATGACAGATAACAAAAAAGTATAGATTAACTAACAAATAACTATCATGTACCATCTAATAACGATGCAATGTCGGCCTAAAGCGAATTGGCTTGAGGCTCTTCTAATATAATTTAAAACACGGAGTAACCCTTTGGAATTAATTTGACAAGACTCGGAATAAATTATTGGATTTAAATTATTTATACAGGCTTAAATATATTTAAGTAAAGTATTGGAATTAATTTAATCAAGAAAAAAGTCCTATTGTAGTAACGTTTTGCTTAAACTCTAAAGAAAGTGAGAGTGTTTTTGTGAATTACTCTCGCTATCTAGACGGTCACGGTCGGGTTACAAGCAATGGTTAGGCTCGTTGCACACTACGCGATATATTTTCAGAAAAAAAAAATATAAGAATGGCGTTGAGACCGCTAAAGAGATCTTGATAAAATAGATGTGCAAATAGAAAAAAAATGCATTACTATTCTTTTATTATTGAGTAGGACAAACTTTGAGGTTGTTAGGGGTTCATTTAATTCACAGTCACACAAAACGTGGGATTCATCTGTGGACGGTGGTTCGTGACCTGGACAGAATTCAACATTCATACCGTCCATTTAATACCCAGATTTTCAGATGTAACCCAGAAAATGTTTCCGGAAATCATAATTTGATTAGAAACATGATGGGACCCAGTGGGAATCGAACCCGCGACCCCTCACGCCCATCAGCCGCCCGCCGCCGTACCTACATACCTATCTATGCACTTTCGCTTGAATGTTTTTAAAACTATTGCTATATTTACTATTAGGAATATATTTATATTGCTCTATGGATCATTAGGAACCTACGGAACACTGGATGCCGATTCCATTCCCGCCTGTGTTGTTAATTTTTTTACTATCTAAATAGATTTTTAATGTAAGCCATCATGTGCAATATATTAAAGTATAACGTATTATTTTTTTATTTATTATCGTATTATTTTTTTACAGAACATTTTATCCGAATAAATCTAACGACTTTGATTATAAATTTTGTTATGTGAAGTAGGATGTTGAAACAATTATGAATATGTAACTTTCCAAAGAAAGGAACCTACAATGTAATTTTCCCCGTTACGAATAGCGTGTCAAAAAATGTGAACCAATTTTGTTAATTGCATCCGGTCTTGGCAGCGAAATCATATATTGTTAACCTTAGATCAGTCGAAATTGTGGCCTAACATACTTGTACCTGTATGTACTCCATAATATATACTACTGGTTAGTACTAGTAATATGAATTATTGAAAATGCATTTTCTTCTAATAGGTACATTTAAAAGATTACTAACTAACCTGGCACACGTTTTTTCATATTGCATTATAACATTTGATTACCATAAAAGCGGTACTTGTGAGTTAATTTTAGAAGATTGACTTGTAATGTTGGAGTTTTTTTAGACCATTTAAAGAGTAATCATTCTTGCGTACATATTTTTTGGGTATCTTGAACAATTTTCGCAGCGTACGCAACGGAAACCCTCAAAGAATTTTTCCCGATCGTTCCACATTTCCCGCTGTTTCTTCGCTCCTATTAGTGTCCCCGTGGCTACGGCTGCTGCAAAGGGCGGAAGTTAAAATTTTCAAATAAGTTTAACTAATACATATCGCGTTTTAAACCGTTAAAGTGTTTTATTAATCATCTTTCCTCGGTCAATGCACTATGAGAATGAATATTATTTTACATTGTTTTGCAAAGCTGTCGTAAGCTTCATTTTTAATTTTACTACATTTTACCAACGGAGTAATTGTATCCCTTTTTTAGATAAAAGAAAACATTTCAACTTTAAATTCTTTGTTATATGCTGATAGTGACGTTTCACAAAGTTGTGTTTTGCAATTGTAGGTACTATCCACAATTTTAACCTTTTTTTATTTTATTTCAACATAATACATTAAGTAAGTAATGTCTGTAATTAAATTAAATTAGAAATGGGTAATTTAAAATAGTCCGCGTTTTGAACGGTTAAAATTGTTTCATTTAAATTTACATAAACAGACTAAATTACTTGTAATCAGAGAAAAAATATTAAACTTCTGTGACAAAATAATATTTTGTTACTTGGTATTGAAACCCAGGTCTTGGAGATCTGTCTTGTCTAATCCGGTTCTAAACTTTAATAAGTACAAAATCTAAATTAAATCGCATTATTTTTTGCCCACATTCCAAGAGTCCGTCAGTCAACACCAGAGCACAAAATTGGTGTTTCATTATAACTTTTTCAGTCCATATCTTTTAAACTTAAAATCTTTTAAATATATTGTGAAAGAGCAGAACAAAGCAACATTAAAAATAAACAGATCGGATTTAACCCTTTTTTACAGGACTTCATTTTCCTCTGTAAAGGGTTGATTCTGAGAATTTTGAACAAGCTAATCAAAATAACATAAAATAAGGTTGTTTATTCTCTAATTATGTATTTTTCCATCCTCACTACAATCACTGTTTTGTTTTAGTAATGAATTCTGGCTATGGTGATCTTCTTATAGTTCTTTCTAGTATAAATCACTGAATGTATTTTTAATGCCAATTCTTCAATAAGACGATTAAAATAGTATAATAACCCAAAAAAGTTAGTTTTATCTCGTGGTGCTTGTCAGACATTACTGTGTCTAATTCTCAGACTCTTTTTTCTCACAACCAGGTCTTAAAACGACTATTAAAACGCGAAATAGATTCGTCGATCAAATACGACCCGATGCTTCGAGTGTCTTTCGAGAGCAACGAAGGTGATTCGAGTATACCTCAAACTGTTTTTCTACGCTTAACAATTTTAA